ATGTGACCTAGTACTAGTATCTGTGGGCACATTCTTTGTTAGGTGCTGATTGAGCTGAAACGCATGCTCCCCAGGAACTTGAATTATAAGCAGTATAACGGAAAGTAGGAGTGTGTTATTTTCCCCCCAAAAGAGTCGAGTGTAAGGAAAACATATGGCAGGGTTCATCTCCTCACTGCGTCTGGTAGCACAGGCTCCGCGTGTTTACCCTTATGTCATTTAGATGTCAATGTTTATATTGCAAAGAGAGTCTCTGACAAGCTAAACAGAGACTCTGAGACACAAATCCAAGTGCAGCTGAAGCCATTGTCTTTAACAGGTGGCATTAAACTACTGACAAAACCGCAGGGGCCTCCTGCCCTGGCCACTGTCAGTAACGGTATGGAAATGAGAGTGACCCTGTGGGGAGCTCACCTATGCTGTGCAGTCATCTTGGTTTTGCTGGTAGAAATGCAGTTCAGCATCAGAAAGAGCTGCCGTGTGGGATGCGACATCCAATGCCTCACAGCATTCAGACTGTCTCAGTGGGGCGTCAGATGCTTCTTCGGTGCCGCTGGGTTACACATCCAAGCCTGCCCTCGGTGAAGGATGCATCTCTGAGCAGCCCAGGGGTAGTTTTTTAGCTTGGTAGTGTTTCTCACCGCCTGACTCTATTTCAGGTTCCTCAAACTACGGCCTGCGGGCCACATGCAAATACAAATATTGTATTTGTTCCCGTTTTGTTTTTTTACTTCAAAATAAGATATGTGCACTGTGCATAGGAATTTGTTCATAGTTTTTTTTTTTAAACTATAGTCCAGCCCTCCAACGGTCTGAAGGACAGTGAACTGGCCCCCTGTTTAAAAAGTTTGAGGACCCCTGCATTTAGTGGAAGTCCCTGCTGCTTTGGGATTTTGATAAAGCATGAGACCCACACAGTTAGGAACCGAGGAACAGGGGGCCCCTGGAGATTTAGAACTGGCCTGAGGCTTGGATGTGGAGGGTGAGGCAGGGGTACCTGAGACCAGTTCTCTGCATCTGAGCTCATCCTCTTAACCTAGGAAGTACTGTCCTGGGACCTTAAAAACAGTGAGGAGCCCCCTGGCCAGGAGACCCAGTTGGTTGGAGCGCTGTCCCATACACCAAAAAGGTTGTGGGTTCAATTCCTGGTCAGGGCACATACCTGGGTTGCAGGTTCGATCCCTGGTTGGGACGCATAAGGGAGGCAACTGATCCGATGTTTCTCCCTTCCTCTCTCTCTAAAAATCAATGAACATATCCGTGGGTGAAGGGAAATTAAAAAAACAGTGAGGGGGGAGGTAAAGCCTGCTTAGCCACTATTCCTGCAGGACCCAGCCTGGTGGCCAGGCTGGGACACACAGTGTTTCCTCAGGTCCCATGTAGATTTGCTGTTGCCTCGCGTTCCATGTGATGCTCTAGAATGGCATACAGGAATTGTGAAGCTATGTTTTCAGATGTGGTTTTGCTACAAATCTGTAACATCATGGACTCTATCCTGTCAGCACTGGACTAGCCATGCCTCACAGAGAATCATAGATATTCCTGTAACCAACAAAGGGAATGCAGAGCATGCTTTTAAACTGTCTTCTTTTATTCATTTACTAGTGGCCCGGTGCACAAAATTTGTGCACATTAAAAGGGGATTAATTAGAAGAAATATTTTTTTAAAATATATTTTATTGATTTTTCACAGAGAGGAAGGGAGAGGAATAGAGAGTTAGAAACATCGATCAGCTGCCTCCTGCACACCTTCTACTGGGGATGTGCCCTCAACCAAGGTACGTGCCCTTGGCCGGAATCGAACCTGGGACCTTTCAGTCTGCAGGCCGACGCTCTATCCACTGAGCCAAACCGGTTAGGGCTAGAGGAAATATTTTAATATTGCTATTTGCCTTTCTCTATAATTGAAGTGTCAGAGATGAAAGAAAATTCGTAAAATGTATATGAAAATCTTCCTCCTGTCAGAGTCTGGGGCATGCCGCAGGACCCAGACTCAAGTCCCCGCCCACCTGTGGCGCCTAAAAATCGCGTGAGACCCAGACCCAGCAGGCCCCAACTCCATTGGGCGAGATCCAGACCCCGCCGACCCCACCCTTGTCAAGCCCCATTGGGCGGGGGCGCAGCCTCAGGTCCCCTGGCCCAGCACCTGGCAGGGGGTGCACACCACGGGACCCAGAGTCAAGTCCCCGCTCATGCACGTGCGCCCCCAAAATCACGCGAGACCCAGACCCGGCTGGTCCCACGCTTATCAAGCCCTGCCAGGCGGGGGGCACAGCCTCAGGTCCCCTGGCCCGGCACTAGGGGCGGGGGACATGGCCTGAGGTCCCCCAGCCTGGGCCAGGGAAGGGAATGTGCCTTGAGGTCCCCCATCAAACCCTGACGGGTGGGGGACGTGGCCTGAGATCCCCCATCAAGCCCCGCCGGGCAGGGGGCATGGCCTGAGGTCCCCCAGCTCGGGCCAGGGTAGGGGGCATGCCTTGAGGTCCTTGTCAAGCCCCGCCGGGTGGGGGACGTGGCCTGAGATCCCCCATCAAGCCCCGCCGGGCAGGGGGCATGGCCTGAGGTCCCCTGTCAAGCCCCACTGGGTGGGGGGGCCAAGCGCCACGCAGCCTCAGGTCCCTGCCGATTGCTCGTTAAGGCTTGTTACAGGAACTCGGCCTCCGCTGTGGGCGCAGCCATCTTGTGTTACGGAATACCTACCTCTGCTGTGGGCGCAGCCATCTGGACCATTACGGTGTAATGGTCAATTTGCATATTCCCTCTTCATTAGATAAGATTTTTATTTCTTTTACATAGGTAATACATTCATGAGGCTTTTGGGGGTTTTTTAAGTATGAAAAATACAGCGCTGGCCAGTTTGGCTCAGTGGATAGAGTGTCGGCCTGCGGAATGAAGGGACCCGGGTTTGATTCCAGTCGAGGCCATATGCCTGGGTTGCGGACTTGACCCCCAGTGTGGAGCGTGCAGGAGGCAGCTAATCAATGATTCTCTTTCATCATTGATGTTTCTCTCTCTCCCTCTCGCTTCCTCTCTGATACCAATAAAAATATATTTAAAAAAAGAAAGATACATAGTGAAAAGTCACCCTTCTCTTGTTTTGCCCCAGTCACTCAGCCTTCCACAGGCAACCCTGGTTAATAATTTCTTAATTATCTTTCCACAGATTATTTTTTAATGCCCATGGGTGCATACAAAAGGCACTGTTTTATACCTTGCATTTTTATTTAATATACAGGGTGGGGCAAAAGTAGGTTTACAATTGTTTGTGTGGAAAATAATACAATAATTAATAAATAATAATACAAGAATAAGCTGTTTTGTGTACTCACAACTCTAACCCTACTTTTGTCCAACCTATATTTTAGTTTTTCATGTCAATATGTTAAGGGCTCCCTCATTTATTAATGTCTACATAGTAAAGAAGTCCTGTATTTCTAGAGAGCCAAAGCATCCCCACCCCAGCTCTCCTGTTGCTTCTTCTATTTATGCTATTTCTAATTTTTTGTTATTAGTGCATACAAGGATGCCATGAATAACCTTGGACTAGACCTGAAATTGCTGGGTCAGGTGGTGTATACATTGCTAATTTTGATTGATACAGCAAATTGCTCCACATAGAGCTTGTACCAGTGTGTACTCCCAGGACGTGATGCCTGTTTCCCTTTGGCATCATGAACATTGATTTGAGTTAAGAATGTACATAGCGTGCGCTCCCTCCCCGGAGCATGCCCATGCCTTTCTTCCCTCTCAGGCGCGCATCTCCTAAATGCTAAGGGTCCCCACAACACTTGCAGCCGGGGGAGCAATGGGCAGCGGCAGCTTGTCCCGGGCTCACTCCCTGAACCTGTCCCCAAGGCCCCCTTCCTCTGACTTCCCGGTGAGCTAACAGCAGCCCCGCCTCGGCTCATTTCTTCCCTGAAACACGTCTTAGAGCCAGAGCAGCCCCGCCCGGCTCTCCTGTTGCTTCTTCTGTTCTAAATCTTTCCTGCTCCACTGTCCCAGGCTTTAATAAACAGACTCTCAGAGTCAAAAGGAATATATAGACTACCTAGAGGTCAGGGTAGGTACTGAATCGTGGAGCCCCACCATGACACTCCGTTCCAGAAGATACACAGAGCACAACAGTCTAGTTTGAAGAACATTGCATTTAAAAATATATTCAAAAGAGGTAACTGGGCCTTTGGTGGTTAGAAAAAAGGAAGAAAAATTCCAGAGGAATTTGTTCTCGACCTCAGCACTCACACTGGCGTGCATTAGAGGAAGAACAGACACCTCTCTTTGCAGTGCAGTACCAAGGAGGGGTGCGGTGCAGGGAGTAATAGAGAGGCTGTGGGAGAATAAAGGAAAATCCTAGGGAGGAGCTGGCAACCAAGCAAACGGGTTTCGTGTCCACTGGAGAATTACCTCAGCCCAATGCCGCTACCTACTCATGTCAGCGACCTTATTTTTTTTTAAAGATTATACCCCTTTCAGCACAACTATTCATCTCTTCTTGGCCTCTTCTACCATCATCTCACTTGGAGTTAAGGTTTCTGTGAGCTGATGTCTTTTTTCACTTAGCATTAATTTGCAAACCCTTCTCCATTAATCCAGATGGTCCGTGGTTCTTGTCTAAAATGTTTAAACAGGCATCCTTGTGCAGATAGCTCTTGTTTTCTGTGGACTCCTTTTGTGGGATGAATTACGAAGACGAGGTTATTAGCTCTCAGATGCAGAACTTTCCCCAGTGGGGTTCGGCATTGACGGACTGCCCTCTGGGGAGTCTAGTGCCATCAGCAGCGCATGCGTGGGCCAGCCTCCTGGTGTTGCCAACATCCATGGTTGGGATTTTTTTTTTATTAATAGACTTTATTTCTTAGAGCAGTTTTAAGTATACAGAAAAATTGAACAAAGTACAGAGTAATCCCATATACTTCCCCCCACCTCCGTTCCCAGTTTCCCCTATTTTAAGCAGACCTCGGAGATATTTCAGGTTCCGTTCCAGACCACGACAGTAAAGCAAATGTTGCAATAATGTGAGTCATAGAAGTTTTGGGTTTCTCTATGCATATAAAAGTTATGTTGACACTATACCGCAGTCTATAAGCGAGCATTAGCATTATGTGTTAAAATACAGTGTACATAACTAGTAACTGCTCCCCGTTATCTGAGCCTTCAGCAATCATACGAGTCATAATCTTTTTGCTAGTGGAGGGTTGTGCCTCGATGTCGATGTCTGCTGACTGATCAGGGTAGTGGTTGCTGAAGGGTGGTGTGGCTGTGGCAGATTCTTAAAATAAGACAATGAAGTTTGCAGCATGGGTTGACTCTTCCTTTCACGACTGATTCTCTGTAGCTTGTGATGCTGTTTGATAGCATTCTACCTGCAGTAGAACTTTCAAAATTGGAGCCAGCCCTCTCAACCCTGATTTATCAACTAAGTTTACGTAACATTCTAAATCCTTTGTTGTCATTTCAACAGTCTTCACAGCATCTCCACCAAAGTAGATTCTATCTCAAGAAACCGCTTTCTTTGTTCACCGGTAAGACTCCTCATCCGTTAAAGTTTTATCACGAGATGCAGCCACTCAGTCACATCTTCAGACTCCACTTCTAACTCTAGTTCTCTTGCTGTTTCCACCACATCTGCAGTTACTTCCTCCACTGAAATCCTGAGCCCCTCAAAGTCATCCATGAGGGTTGGAATCAACTTCTTCCAAACTCCTGTTAATGTTTACTCAGTGAATTGCCACAAACCTTCAATTTTTTTTAAAGCAGTATTTGTGAAGCGCAATAACACAAGGTATGCCTGTGTTAACATCTTGCATTATGCGGTTATCTGCTACAATTGGTGAACCAGTGTTGGTGCATTATTAACTAAAGTCCACAGTGTACATTAGGATTCACTCTGTGTTGTACGTCCCATGGATTGTGTGAATTGCATAATGTCAGGATCCAGCATTACATGTCACACAGAATAGTTTCACTGCCCAAAATGCCCTGTGCTCCACCTCTTCATCCCTCCTCTCCTCCCTCTGCACCCTTGGCAACCACTGGTATTTTTACTGTCCCCATAGTTTTGCCTTTTCTAGAATGCCACATAGTTGAACTCATATTGTATGTAGTCTTTTCAGATTGGCTTCTTTCACTTAGCAAAATGCATTTAGGGTTCCTCTATGTCTTTTTATGACTTAGCTCATTTCTTTTTACCACTGAATATTCCATTGTGTAGATGTACCACAGTTTATTTTTTAAAGGACACTCTCGGGAAGGTATGAACACAAGTTTTCAACTCGTTCGGGTAAATTAGGACCAGGATTGTTGGATCGTTTGGTAAGAGTATGGTTAGCTTTGTAAGAAACTGCCAAACTGTCTCCCAGAGCACCATCTTGCCTTCCCACCAGCTATAAATAAGAGTTTCTGTTCCTCCACATACTTGACAGCATTTGGTGTTGTCAGTGTTTTGGATTTTGGCCATTCTAATCAGGGTGTTATAGTATCTCATTGTCTATTGGATGTTAATACTTTTACTTTGAGTTTTGGTAATTTAATACCAGTAAGTAAAATAGTGTCATGATTATTCTTTCTTTGTGTGTGTTTTTTGTTTGTTTGTTTGCTTTTCATTTCATATTGTAGCTTTATTTGTCCAGTGGGAATTGGATATTGTTCTTAGAGGTTTGTTAAGTGTCTGCATGTATTTTTTTCACCCAACTTTTAAAATTGTGGCAAAATACACATAACGTAAAATTTGCCATCTTAATTAATTTTTTGTTGTTGTTAATCCTCACCTGAGGATATTTTTTAATTGGTTTTTAGAGAGAGTGGAAGGGAGGGAGGTTAAGGGAGGGAAAGAGAAATTTTTGATGCAAGAGTGCCTCCAGCACTCACCCCAACCGGGGCCAGGGGTCAAACCTGCAACCCAGGTATGCGCCGTTGACCAGGAATCAAATGCCAGAACTCTTCAGTTCAAGGGCAAACCTGTAACCACTGAACCACAACTGCCAGGGCATCTTAACCATCTTTTTTCTTAAATACATTGTTTTTATTGATTTTATACAGAGGGAGAGGGAGAGAGAGATAGAAACATCTATGAGAGAGAAACACCATTCGGCTACCTCTTGCATGCCTCACACTGGGGATCAAGCCCACAAACTGGGCATTTGCCCTGACTGGGAATCCAAGCAGTGACCTCTTGAGTGCATGGGACGATGCTCAACCAACTGAGCCACACTGGCCAGGCGCTCTCAACCATTTTTAAGTGTACAGTTCAGTTGCATGTGTTTTTAATATCATGTCTTATGGTTTATTTCTTTACTATTTCCCCCTAATGTTTTTTTAAACTAACTCTTCTTTTGATTTGATTTTTTTTGGGTGTGTGTGCTTGTTTTTGCCTTCTCTTCCTTGTAAGGATCTGGCTATTGTTCCATTTTAATGAGCTAATGAAGTAAATGTAACCTTTCTGTCACAGGGCGATGGTTCTAACTAGCTGTGGCGTCCCGTCTGTCCTGCTGGTGAGGGAGGGCTCCACTTTCAGTAGCCCTTCCTCAGCCAGTGGTCACCCCACGCCGACTCCACAAACAGTCCCAGTGGCACTTCATCAGAGCCCTACTAACTTCTTGTTGGTGTAAAGCAAATCCTTAGGATAACCCTTCCAAATGCCTTTATCCTGGGCTTTTCTTTTCATGGACAAAAAGTGGCTTTGAAACTCAGCCATGATTGGGTGTTTACAAATTAAGGTGTTAAAATTCACTTAAACATATGACTGACAAGTAGATTTTTAAGTTATCTGCGTTCGTTTAAATGAATTCTGTTCTACAGTAACTGGGGTCTGCATCTTCACTGTCCTTTTGAAATTGAAAATAATCCTTTTGCCTAATTACTCCTTTTGCTGTGACTAATTCAAAACTGTAAAACTGTAGTAGCCAAATAGGAACCATACTAAAAAGTGATTTGGGCTTTTAACATCAGTGTGTGTGCATTGAAGTCTTTTTCTATAGTAACAAATACTGAATAATTTTACTACAGCTCTTCCAAATCTGGTTCTAATTTGCCCCTTGACTCCCTCGGCCTCTATCCCTCCCAACTTAATGCCATTTTGTCCTCTCTGAGCCCAAATGAGGACTTTCTTGAGTGAGAAGTCACATTTTTTCCTAAGTTCCTTTTTTTTTGTTTGTTTTTTTTGTTTTGTTTTGTTTTGCTTCTAAATACAGTTGCCCTCCAGGCTGGCTGAGACAGAGTACAGAAAGCCTGTTCTAAATGCCCAGGGAGTGCTGGTGGCAGAAAGTGATGGAAGAGAGAGCAGGTTGAGGTCAAGGAGGAGCCCAGTTGTGTGTGGATCAGGTTACCCTTGAACCGGGGTGGATGGAGGGCAGAAACAAACACATGGCTCCTCTAGTTTCCCATCTCTCAGGTCCCGCATTTTTCTGCCGTGAGGATGCAGGTTAAGCACACTTTGTTTCACGGCGAGCCCTAAACACCTGAAGTCTCTAAAAAGTTTTTCTAAATGTTATTTCTCCCCAGTAAGTATAATTTATGTTTTTACATTGGAAAGCATTTCTATATGGGGTGGGTTTACAGTTGTTCATATGGAAATAATACCATAATTAATAAGTAATAATTCAAGGAGCCGTGACCAGTTTAGCTCAGTGGATAGAGCATCAGCCTGCGGACTGTAAGTTCCCAGGTTCGATTCCGGTCAAGGGCATGTACCTTGGTTGCAGGCACATCCCCAGTAGGAGGTGTGCAGGAGGCAGCTGATTGATGTTTCTCTCCCATTGATGTTTCTAACTCTCTATCCCTCTCCCTTCCTCTCTGTAAAAAATCAAAATATATTTAAAAATAATAATAATAATTCAAGGATAAACTCCATGTTTTGAGTACTCATAACTATAAACCTATTTTTTTCCCCCCCCCCCCCCCCCGTATTATGAAGTCATAGGGCTATTTCCTGCATCAGAGTCAATAGGTTAAGCTCATTTAAAAATGCAACAAACATCCCTAGCCGGTTTTGCTCAGTGGATAGAGCGTCGGCCCATGGACTGAAGGGTCCTGGGTTTGAGTCTAGTCAAGGGCACGCTGCCTGGGTTGCAGGCTTGATGCCCAGGGCTTGCGGAGGCAGCTAACCGATGTCTCTCTCTCACATTGATCTTTCTCTCTCTGTCTCTCCCCTCCCTTCCACTCTTTCTAAAAATCAATGGAAAAATATCCTTGGGTGAGGATTAACAAAAAATACCAACAACAAAAAGCAATAAACTGAAACTGGACTTGCTGCTACTTCTGGGAGAGTCATCCCTACCTTTTGTCATGGCTCTTATCCCCTTTGCCCTCCCCCAGTCTGTCTCTCCCCTCTCAGCTCAGGTCATGGGGGAGCTGGTAACCCTAACCCTCCGCAGAGAAACAGAGCAGCTGCCCTGCTCCCCTCGCCCTTCCTCAGGGGGCCACCGGAGTTGTGAATCTAAAATGTCAAGTGCAGGCAGGAACTCACACGCAGCCATCTGAGGCCTCTCTTTGACTCTGTCAGTCTCAGTGTTGTTAGTTTAGTACCGACGCAGTAGGATTCAGAGAAAACCATTTGATGAAATCAAGGGAGAGAAGTGGCAGGCACTTGTACATGCCTGGCAGCCATGAAGCACCTCTGTCAGGCTCTGTTGGAAGGCAGCGTCAGGCGTCGGGGAAAGGTTAGCGAGCAAGAGTGGACTGTCTTAAAGGTTTATAATCAGGTGGGGAACCTTTTTTCTGCCAGGGGCCATTTGTATGTTTATAACATCATTCTCAGGACATACAAAATTATCAACTTAAAAATTAGCCTGCTATATTTGGTCAAACATTTAATTAACTCACCCCTAACGCCTTGGCAGGGCCAGACCAAATGATTTCTCGGGCCTTATAAGGCCCTTGGGTCGGACGTTCCCCACCCCAGGTTTATATTATGAAGCTTATGGAGGAAAATTGAATATTTAGCCCGAACATGAGAACATGTGGAGGAGTGGAGATTGCTTTGCTTTGAGTCTCAGAAGACTCAAAGGGAAATGTGGCTCAGCTGTTCCCGCTTTCCATTGTGGCAGGTCAAGAACTGGGTTTCAGTTGCAGTGGATGAGATGAAAGTTAAACAACCAATATTCTAGGGTTTTAAGTGCTGACATTGTGTCACAGTGGATTGGCAGAAGGAAGAAATACACCAGATATTGAGAGGTATGGGGCCAGCCTGCCTGGCTTTGAATCCTGGCTTCAGCTATGGAAACTTGGACAAATTACTTCACCTCTAAGCCTCAGTCACCCCATCTGTAAAATGGGCAAATTGTACCTACATCCTCATAGGATTATTCTTAAGATTGGAAAGAAGAGTTGCCCTAGATGGTGTGGCTCAGTTGGTTGAGCATTATCCCATGCACCAAAAGGTCGCCAGTTCGATTCCTGGTCAGGGCACATGCCCAGGTTTCAGGCTCGGTCCCCGGTCAGAGTGTGTGCAGGAAGCAGCCAATTGATGATTCTCATGTTGATGTCTCTCTCTTTCTCTCCTTTCCTCCCTCTCTTCCTCTCCTTTTCTCTTTCTCTAAAATCAATAAAAACAAATTTTTAAAAAACGAATAAAAGAGTTAATGTAGGTAAAGTGCTCTGAACAGTGGCAGGCACATACTAAGGGCTATATATTTGATAAATGTAACTAACATGAGCAGTGGAAAGGAATTCA